AGTCAAAGGAAATAAGAAAGGTTATTCAATTGTTAATCCTTTTGTCAGCATGTTGGCCGAGCAGGAATATGAGGTTATTTTTTGAAGCAGACCTCGTCGTCGTCATTCGAGATGGAGCACATGGAATAAGAAGAGGTGAATATACGGGGTCACCTGTCAAGATAGGCCAGTGTGCGGAGTGATGAGCAGTATAGCCAGTGTCGGGTTCCGACACCAGCAGCAGCAGCAGCAGCACCAGTCAGCGGTGCCAATGCTGCACTCGAGAGGAGAAAAAGTAAAATTAATAATTATGATAATAACCGCAAGGAGCTTTCCCGCCTTATTTTCTTTATATTGGCATGGAATAATCGAATGCACTCTTGGACTGGGTGGGACCAGACAACTCCAACACGTTTATTTAGAGGCTTACGTACCTTCTTTCCTAACGGACGAGCAAGAGTAAAAAGGGATAAAGTCGCTATTTGTCCACAAGTTTGTTCTTCCTTTTCTTCCTATCCGACCTCGCAATTCTTTTAACCTTGAAACGGAAACTAAAATTTTTTAAACCTGTTTTTTTTCTCTCTCTTTCACTCCGACTTTCCTCCTCTTCCGCTGAATTGGCTCGCCGAATAAAGGGGCACGCATGTGATACAGTATATAGCGTGCTGTTCGTACAGCTGTTCGTGCACAAATTGGCACACATATATATGCAGTTGAGGAATGAAACTTCGGACACGTTTCGGAAATTGACATTACGCAGAACCTTGACAATTGTTTACACTGCAGCCAAAACTTTTTCTGGGAAATTCGAGCCCACCTTTTGTTCCAAAACGGGGATGATTCGAGCCAAAATAAATTATTCGATCCTATACTCGTCGAATAAATTTGGACGATTTCAGAAAAGCGAGTCAGGCGAGTAAGTCAACTAAGGGATGCATTAAAAAAGCAATGAATATCACATATGTTTCTATAGGAGATATTTCAGCGGAAACCCCGAGCACGTTTCTTCACATTTCATTGATGGCAAACAAGGAAAACTTTCTGGCCTTTGGTTTCAGCAGGATCAATGACGAACCGTTAATAAATGCCGACTCGTGTTAAATCCAGACTCACATTATACAATATATAATGCCACACACATGGCTCTTAATTGTATGTGTTGTAGTAAATATTCAAGCGTTTATCGAATTTTTTAATCAATTGGAGTGGAATTTTCTTTTAATTCAATCGACGAGTTGTTCATTACAGTACCTTGCGCGCGGCGCAGGGGCGCGTTTACGCTTGTTGGTAGTGACACCTGTGAATAAAAAAACTAGACGCTCCACATCGTCAGGTCCGACACGGAAAAACAACCACAGCGACATTGTAAAGGTCTTTTACACTCCCGGTCCAAGGTAACGAACGTTTTTTTAGCAAAAATAAAGGTTTCTTGTGACATTCCTTTAGAAAGTGTGCGTTCCTCGTTTTTTTATGAAAGCTTCAAAATTGAACAGCTTAATTTAACGTACAAATTGGCACGGGAGGTTCGTCAGCGGTCGGAAGAATGTTCTCCATGTCGTGGCAGATGCAGCCCCTCCATCATCTATGATCTGTCTTCGACAAAGTTCTGGCATAAATTCCAGTAATCATCTGACACACACACACACCCACCTTCGTTGATGACTCGGGGGAATAAAGCCCAGTAGCGTTGCCGCGGGTTTCATCTTTTTACCAGCCGATGCCGCCGCCGTAGCCGCCATAGCCGCCATATCCACGTCCGTAGCCACCCCCGTAGCCACCCCCGTAGCCGCCATAGCTTCCATAGCCGCCATAACCGCCATAGCCGCCGCCATAGCCGCCGCCATATCCTCCGTAACCGCCGTACCCTCCGAGGCCACATTGAACTTTACTTTTTAAATTTGCTGTTTTTTTCAATATACGTAACTGTTTAATGACTGTGAAGAGAAGTAGCGAAGAATATACGTTCGTGCATTTACATCTTTTTTTTTCAAAGGAAAGCTTAAATTTATAAATACAGCAACAGAATATTAAATTCAAAGGTACCATTTTAAACTGATATATACCTTCAAAAAATGTGTATTTAAATTACCTGTATTTCGACTTTTAAGGCAAGTGTCACCAGAATACACTTGAAGTGTTGATCAAAAATAAGATGAGTTTCTGGCCTATGCTCAGTGTTGCTAACACGGCTCACCATCACTACTGGTTCACAACGGAGAATCACGCAGACAAACATGAAGCTACAGTGTACGTGTTGTTTCCACGCATAGCAAAAAACTTGGATATACTGCATAGACTGATTTGTTTGGCATTAAGCAGGCATTACAGCGGTTTCTACAATCCGCCAGTAATAGTTAAGCTGCATATAGGAACCGGCTCAACCGCTTTCTCTTTTTTTTTTCTTGTTGGATGGACTTGTCCCATAAACCAGTTTTATACGAGTGCTGATGATGGAAAAAGTTGTTTTGGGGCATGACGCGGTTCTTGATTTAGATGGGACCATTTCTGCCACTGCGAACCCTCGGCATCCCAGCTCAGCCTTGCATTTTCGGTTTTTTTTTTTTGAAAATCAGTGAAGAAGAATATTTTCAGCCCCACCTGGCACGTTTTTCCTGCAAGCATTTTATGTACTGTACAAAAAATTAGGCAATGGAGACCTTTCTATTGCGAACCTTTCTCTGCTGGTATCCATATTTTCAGGTGATATACGAGTATGTGCTGGCTAACTTGAAATAGCCAACGTCTTCAACTGAAGAAAAAAACCAATATGAATCGGTGTTGAAAAGAAAAAAGAGCATCAGTATAAAATCTTGTAAACAGAAAAAAAAAACTAAGTACAGGATTGTACATCGTAAAAAATTATTCCTTATGATGATGCATGAATGTATGTGATGAAGTTATTGTCAGACTGAATCATGGAGTCATGAGTTGACCTATACAGTATATATCTCTGAAAGCGGAAACATATTCGAGCTGGTACTGTGCCAGAAAGCACATTTCACCCGAATCCGAAACTCTCTGAGCCCATTGCATGTGACTTCAAAAGAAATGTCGGGATAATACAGCATTTCTGTATTATTACTGTACTACTATGTACAGTAAAGCATTTGACCCAAGCTGCTTTTGCCCAAGTGATCAAAGCGTGTATATAGTGGCATAAATCCATGCCTCTTTGAAATGATTTCGTAATTTCAAATAAATTGCGGTATAGGCATAAGGCACTTTTATATATGATGATGTATGAGTCGTCTTGGTGGACCCGGAAATGCGAGCACTGAAATGCAGCCCGAGGAAATTCCAGCCATCAATGCAGTATAGGCGAAGGAGAATAAAGCATCTGGGCGTTGTAGAAGGCAGGCAAATGTGCCTCGCATGTATATGCATATATATACGGTGTATGTGAATATACCCAGTACATATAGGTGGGGCTGATGGAGGAGAAAAGTTTCATTCCTCAACTGTATGTGATGTGCCAATTTGTGCACAAATTTCAGGTTTGATGTCTCATTATTGTAAGCTGCACTCTCTCTCTCTCTCTTTTTCTCTTTGTGCGTGTGTGCGTGTGTTTATTTTCGTATTTTCTTTGTTTTCCATTATAATGACGTGAAATAAATGCCAGCCGGAATGGAGTTCCGTCGGGTTCGAAATTCAAAGGAAATAATAAAGGTTATTCAATTGTTAATCCTTTTGTCAGCATGTTGGCCGAGCAGGAATGTGAGGTTATTTTTTGAAGCAGACCTCGTCGTCGTCATTCGAGATGGAGCACATGGAATAAGAAGAGGTGAATATACGGGGTCACCTGTCAAGATAGGCCAGTGTGCGGAGTGATGCGCAGTATAGCCAGTGTCGGGTTCCGACACCAGCAGCAGCAGCAGCAGCACCAGTCAGCGGTGCCAATGCTGCACTCGAGAGGAGAAAAAGTAAAATTAATAATTATTATAATAACCGCAAGGAGCTTTCCCGCCTCATTTTCTTTCATAACCGTACCTTATTAGCTTACGTGAGAACCTGACCCACCCTGGTCTGTTGAGGTTGTGCAAATAAATCTCCGAATGCATGGAAGAAAGGATTGCCTGCTCGTTCTCATTTTTCCCTATTTCAGCGTATTTGTCCACAAGTTTGTTCTTCCTTTTCTTCCTATCCGACCTCGCAATTCTTTTAACCTTGAAACGGAAACTAAAATTTTTTAAACCTGTTTTTTTTCTCTCTCTTTCACTCCGACTTTCCTCCTCTTCCGCTGAATTGGCTCGCCGAATAAAGGGGCACGCATGTGATACAGTATATAGCGTGCTGTTCGTACAGCTGTTCGTGCACAAATTGGCACACATATATATGCAGTTGAGGAATGAAACTTCGGACACGTTTCGGAAATTGACATTACGCAGAACCTTGACAATTGTTTACACTGCAGCCAAAACTTTTTCTGGGAAATTCGAGCCCACCTTTTGTTCCAAAACGGGGATGATTCGAGCCAAAATAAATTATTCGATCCTATACTCGTCGAATAAATTTGGACGATTTCAGAAAAGCGAGTCAGGCGAGTAAGTCAACTAAGGGATGCATTAAAAAAGCAATGAATATCACATATGTTTCTATAGGAGATATTTCAGCGGAAACCCCGAGCACGTTTCTTCACATTTCATTGATGGCAAACAAGGAAAACTTTCTGGCCTTTGGTTTCAGCAGGATCAATGACGAACCGTTAATAAATGCCGACTCGTGTTAAATCCAGACTCACATTATACAATATATAATGCCACACACATGGCTCTTAATTGTATGTGTTGTAGTAAATATTCAAGCGTTTATCGAATTTTTTAATCAATTGGAGTGGAATTTTCTTTTAATTCAATCGACGAGTTGTTCATTACAGTACCTTGCGCGCGGCGCAGGGGCGCGTTTACGCTTGTTGGTAGTGACACCTGTGAATAAAAAAACTAGACGCTCCACATCGTCAGGTCCGACACGCTTTTTGTTGGTGTCGCTGTAACATTTCCAGAAAATGTGAGGGCCAGGTTCCATTGCTTGCAAAAAAATCGTTTTTATTTCCAAAGAACACTGTAAGGAAATCTTTCACACGCAAGGAGCAAAAAAATGAAAGCTTCAAAATTGAACAGCTTAATTTAACGTACAAATTGGCACGGGAGGTTCGTCAGCGGTCGGAAGAATGTTCTCCATGTCGTAGCAGATGCAGCCCCTCCATCATCTATGATCTGTCTTCGACAAAGTTCTGGCATAAATTCCAGTAATCATCTGACACACAGACACACACGCACACACCCACCTTCGTTGATGACTCGGGGGAATAAAGCCCAGTAGCGTTGCCGCGGGTTTCATCTGTTTACCAGCCGATGCCGCCGCCGTAGCCGCCATAGCCGCCATAGCCACGTCCGTAGCCACCCCCGTAGCCACCCCCGTAGCCGCCATAGCTTCCATAGCCGCCATAACCGCCATAGCCGCCGCCATAGCCGCCGCCATATCCTCCGTAACCGCCGTACCCTCCGAGGCCACCTCCATAACCACCTGTGATTATTGGAAATGATTGGTGAGAAAGAGACGAGCGATTGTAAATAATAAGGAGAATGAATCGATGGAGCATCTCTTTCGGATCTCCCTTTCAGCATTCATACCAGCACGTGGAACACGATAAATAACAAACACACACACACACACACAAAATGATGATGGGTGGAAGGAAGAAATTTCGTGATTGTTCCGCTCGTTTCATCGCAGGGATCGAGATTCTCGTCCATGCTTGCCAATCGCCATATTATTCGAGGGATGAGCAGGAAGCCGGAATAATAAGCGAGAATAAATTCCAGGCGCAACATCCAGCAAACACCCAGTCAGCAAAAGAGAACTTGCATACTGCTTGTATACCACAGGCTACATATGCAACGACGATGAGTGGGTTTCATCTTTGAATTTCTATCCTAAGGTATTGTTCAGGAAAACTGCATTAATTCCACTCATTCTGAAACAGTATGTAAATGTGCTGCTCTCTTAATTTTAAAAGAGAGAGAGAGCTGGAAACGGGCCAATACAGTGGAAATGGATTTTTTAGATTGAGGTGATGACTGATGAGTTTTTTTTCTCCCCTGATTGAGTATGTAAGCGTGAAAACAATAATACTAGAAGTGAAAATGCTTTGCTTCCATCACTCGAAATTCTTGACCTAATCTTATTTGCGCTCAAGAAAAATGCGTGGCCAATTTCTTCATAGGATGTATAGTGCGATACAGGGCTATAGAATTTCCAAAGTTCAAGGTCGCTGTCAATCCCCATGATGCCAGCAGGAAACGCAGCGGAAAGCTAAGTCAACACCATGCATTTGTCCTTTATTTTTCCTCGCGTCTTGCGAGTGTCAGGATATATATATATATATACATACAGTATGGTGTATATGCATATATATCCTGACAGCACTCGCAGAAAGGAAAAATGAAGGACAAAAATAAGAGTCGGAAATGCGAGTGTAATTCCCTTTTTTGACTGCGCGGGATGACGCGTGTGCTTTGTTTTACAACGAGCTCATTAGTCCTGGTTTCGCTGACTAATTCAGACCAGCACTCTACAATTGGCGACCTTGGACCAGGAAAGAACAATAAGGAGCCCAATCCCAAGCACACGCGGTAATGCAGTAAACAAGAAACTACAGCATAATTGGTGAAGGAAGAAGCAAAATCACTCTATAGATACCCTATATATGTATACCGTATATGCTGTCCATTATTATTTCCGAACGACGGGGGATAAATACGAGTGCTGAGGAGGGGATAACCTGATGAAATTTGGGGTAATTATTATCATCGAAACAGCAGTTCGTTTACTCTCGGAATTACTCTGTCTGGGATGAACGGCGCGGAACTATACACTACAGACGAATGTGATTCAGGGGGAAGATATACATTATATTTCTATTACATTGTATATGAATATGTATATTCACCGTAGATGGGGTAGCCGTAGCTGCGGTAGCCGTAGCCGCCGTAGCCCCCGTAGCCACCGCCGATGCCTCCGCCGTAGCCGCTGTAGCCGCCGCCAAAGCCGCCTCCTCCGCCGTAGGACTCGGCGCCTTCCAGGTCAGACTTCTCCTGGGCCACTGCCTTGCTGGCCTCCTCTGCCAGGCTACAGGGCACGCAGCACGCAGCCACGACCACGGCCATCATCATCGTCATCGTCATCTGCCGGCGTTACAACACAAACAAACAGGGAAAATATAATAGCACCTGACGCAAGACTGCTGCAGTATAAACATCAAGTACCGGCTGCATATTATTATACGTCATTTATACTTATTGTTCGCGGGAGAAACATTAAAAAAAAAAGATTCGAAGAGAAGCGTATTCTGCGTAAATTTATTACCGTATATACTCACGAGTTTCTTGTTCATCATGATTGATTGCCTTATATATCAGCAGCAGGTGTGCTTCTCAGCAAAAACAACAACAACAACAACAAAGTACTCTTGAAAAAGACCTCGTCGACGATCGAGACTATTATTGGGCTTGTTGTTATTACTTGTACAGTACTACTGTATTTATTGGTGTTGGACCTGCACGGGATGAGAGGCAACTGATGCTGTGGGCAGTCCGGAGCCAAGGTTTAAATACACGCTTTCGCGTGGCTGCTGTCTGTCCAGCAGTGTCCCCCAGCATACAGCACTCGGTCCACTTGTTATTGACATACAGTACAGCTCGTGTGTCGCCAGACCATAGGCTTATTTTGGTAAGAATAAAGAAGAAAACGACGAGGAGAGAGAGAGAGAGAGAGAGAGAGAAATCGAGGCGAACCTTGAATGGAGGGTGTGGTCTATTTTCCTTATATATTCTCTCTTCTTTTCGTCATCGGTCTTTGAAATTCGTGCTGTATACGATGGGGAAGAAAAGTAAAGTACACTATATACAGTACAGTACGTACTTACGTCCACCTGCTGCTGCTGCGCGTCGTCGAGGCATTGTTTTCAAACAAACGCTTTCTAAACATCTGCTGTACTCTCTGTTTATACAGTAAAGTACAGTACAGTACAGTACAGTACAGTATCCGGTATATATGTACAGTACCAACATCAGCAGCGCAGTTCAAACACGACGTTTCATTTGATCCAATTGCATCTGCTGCGTTTTATGTGAGGGTTGCTGACTCTGCTTGCGTATACAGTATTGTGCTTCCTCATCTCTCAGCAATAATAATGCAATATATGGTATGGTATCGTATTACAGTGCAGACGAGGAATCCGACTGATGTTGTTGTTGTTGAGAATATTATTAAAGCTGCTCATGTACGGGTGAACCCCGTTCAAAAAGTATCTTCTTCTCTCAGCAGAAGTTCTTATATACTGTATATGCAGTACATCAGTATACAGTACTGTATAACAAAACGGGGAATGTGATCCCGGCTAAATAATAATGCCTGATGCTGATGCATTGCTGACGGGTGATGATATTCCCGCGCCCCGTATTTGCTCATTTCAATTGCATGTCGGCGTCATTATCATCGGCATAATAATACTGCACTGCATTTTTCTCAACTTATTCACCATCATACAGCAGGACCTGATTATCCTTCTCAATCGTACGTGCAGCACACTCGGCTCATCGTTCGATTCGCAGACGGCATTTATTCAATGAGTATGCCATCATATCAGGTACGTGACACGACGTAACAGTCCCTCACGTTGAAATCGCTTTCATGCACACTCACGTGCAAAGAGGATAATATTGTCTATAGCTGTACTCAATATACAGTAGTATACACGAGTAGAGTATAAAGGTGATTAAGGACAACTGTTGGAAGATAATGGTACAGCGTTCGATTGTTATTTGCCTCGCTCATTTCTTGCGTCACTGTACGTCGCGTACGAGTATTAGACGGTACATGCGTGTATGTGTATGTGAGCCAATCGTACGGGAAAGAAAGATTAAAAAAAATAAATATATTCAAACACGCGCTTTGGCTTGTTTGCATATTATGGCGGGAAATTGAAGGTCGAATCGCCGGTTTCGGCGACTGCATGGACAATTCCCCCCGACAGCAGAATCGGAACTAATTTCCGTGTCACTTTTTAATGAAGCCCCGGTTGTGATTGGCTCAATTAGCCTTGGTTCACAGCAGGTGGCCACCGGCCAGGACGACGAGACTCAATTTACTATTCCCCTGTTGCATATTATACACATCATTATACATGCATGTACAGCCATATATATATTTATATATATATATCGAACTCGTAATAGTGTTGTACTGATGTACAATACGGCAGCAAGCATGCTTATAGCCTTATCAATTGCAGCACTCAGCCCGCAACAAGAATAATAACAAACCCCCAGGCAAGGGCACCGTTAGCCTGGGGAACGTTACTACTTACCTAACTCAATTCTCTTTACTGCGAATACTGTCCCATAGGTTCCTACCAGGATCCCCCACCCTCAGATCTTTAGCGGGATCTCGGACATGGATCCGCTTTTCATTCTGGGTGGGTCGGGATTATAATTGATTTCGGGTCAGTAAAGAGAATTGAGTTAGGTAAGTAGTAACGTTCCCCAGGCTAAC